GACCAAACTATTGATGAAGACATGCCAACGCCCAAGTCACATGCTAGCACTGCCAATTGACTTGTAGCTGATGTTCCAACAAGATGGAACTCATCTTATCATATGTTCCGAAGACTCCTTCTTCTACAGAAGGCATGCGATGATTTTTGTGGTGCTCAAGACTTCAAGAAATACGCCCTTTTGCCTCTCGAGTGGGAATATGTTAAACAGATGTGTGAATTTCTTGAACCACTCAGCGAGGCTACTGAAATCCTTTGCAAATCAAAATACCCAACCATGCACCAAGTGGTTCCGATCTACGTTGTAGTGATACAAGGCCTGAAATCGGTAAGAAAATTTCTATCTTACATATTCTTGTCACTCTTGACTGACATGATTTCAATCTTAGGTGGCTCAGCGATACGATCATAATCAACTTATTCCTGCTTCGAAGCTCATGATCAAGAAACTTGAAGATTACTTCAAGAAAGTACTTGCAAAACCCGCACCAATCTGTGCCACGATTCTTGATCCGCGCCACAAGCTGGCTTATTTTGAAGTGAGTTTGTTTATTTCACTTCCTATCTTGCTAATCTAATATACTGATCAGTTGTTTCTATTTTACCAATTAGCAAAATGTGATGATGTTGTCCGACTACAATATCTACCCTTCAAATGTTTGGTTCATGTTTGAACAAGAGGCCAGGAAGTACGAGGTTGAATGCCCAACCCCCACCGCAACTATCACCAGAAAACAAAAATCGACAACTTCTACTTCACAATACTTTGAAGATGCTATATTTGGCAACCGAGACTCTATTGCCGAACACTCAATTGACTCCGAACTCCACCAATACCTTGGCAAAAAGCTTGAAAGGCGCGACAAGGTTGTGTTAGATTTTTGGAAAGAGCGCATCAACATCTATCCCAGTTTGGCCAACATGGCCATGAGTTTTTTGGCGATTCCAGCAACTAGCTGTCCTTCGGAGGGGGTGTTTACCAAGGCTAAACAAATCTTGGCACCCCAGCGAGTTAGTCTTGCACCTCGACATGTAGAGGGAGCCTTATGTGTTAAAGACTGGTACCGAGTCTTTGGTCCTTTGTACATGGAAGAGCGTGTTGAGACCCCTGCTCCTGCTGCAGTCATAATTGACTAGTTTCTTTTTTTTTTACTTTTTACTTCCTTCTTTGTTTTTTTCTTTCTTTGATGTGAAATGCAAACCACATACACCTTTTTGCAAGCTAAATACACCACTGGATCCGTCGGATATCCGGTGTCAACCCTTGACCACAGTGCAGTGCAGCGCAATTTTGGCACAAATTGCGCTGTGCCGTTTGTCGGCCCAGTTAACACTGCGCTGCACTGCGAAACAGCGCAGTGGCTAAATATTGAGGGGGGGCCATGCGCTGAGATTAGCGCAGTTTAGCGCAGCGCAGTGGCGAAAAACTGCGCTATTTTTCGGCACAATTTTTTTTTTTTTTCGCACAAGCTTGTAAATAAAGAGGATGGGACACAAGACACATGAGACAGAGCACACAGAGCCAGCAGTAAAGACAGACATATAAGGAAGAACAAAAAAAATCTGAGAAAATAAGATAGAGAGAAAAACAAGGATCAAGAAGGAACCATCTCAATAACTACACCTTTGCACTTTTCTTCTTCTTTGCCAAACCTGCAACAAGCTGTTCCACAGCTGAAACCGCCTTCCCAAGATCACCTGAAGGCACAAACTTTTGTTTGAGCCATTGACAGATTCCAACAGCTCTTTCAATGGATCTTGATGATAGGCCACCTCGTCGATTTGCGCACACAATTGCTGCAGTTGAAAAGGTTCTTTCAACTGCACAAGAAGACCCCACACAAGCCAAGAAGTCCCGAGCCATCTTAGCCATCTTCGGAAATCAATTTTGATTGCGCTGCAACAATAAGGAAGTCAGCCAAGGTCATGCTAAATAAAAGATAATGAGACTTACTCTCCACCATACTAATATATCAGTATTGCCTTCGCATGGATGCATTCCGGAGAAGTACTGTTCAAGTTCTTCGTCGATGGTCAGAACATGTTTAGCTGAGGTGCTGAACACATTTGTTTCGTCAAATGGATCGAATGGTCGATTGGCTTGAGTTTCGGCCTCGCTAGTCGATTGTGATGCAGGATTAACATGAGTTTTCTCATACTCCGAGAAGTGTTGGCGAAATAGCTCGTCGGCGCGTCCGGCATAATCAGGATATTTATTCTTGATGAACTCTAGTCGAAGTCGGGGATTGAGAATGGTTGCCATGACAAGTGGATCACAGTAAAGTGCCTCTGTCTGGTATCCACGGAGCTGATTGATCATACCATCGATCATCTTGGATAACCCTTGATGTGGTGTGGCGTTTTTGGTATTGACAAGGACCGAGATTAATCCAGAGTACTGAAAAAGAACCGAGGCACCAGTTGGCCCATCGCCTTCCATCTTCTTGGTGGATCGCAGAAAAAACTGTAAGGAGAAGTTAGTAAAGTTGGTAATTATTGGAAACATCAAAATCGAAGGCACTTACCCCCAACACATCATTCAACGCTTCAATAGCCTTCCATTCTTCAGGACTAATGGTAATGCCTTCGTAGAAACCTTCCGAATCTTCGTTGATCATGTGATTAATTACCTACACACAAAACAAAAGAAAAATTATTAGAAACAAGAACCAAGAAACGATAATACAATGATATATGTGACTACTTACTGATTTAGCTTTGCACAAGCGAGTTTGAGCATCAAACCATATATTCCACCTCTGACCATGGGCAGCAATTAGCCCACCACCCGAGAATCCCAGCTGAGTCGCACAAGCTTTGAAGTGATTGAGGCGTGGTGCACTCGAAGTTATCAATTTGTTGATGCGTCGTACCTTTAAAGAGAATTGATCAGTCACTTGTTTTAGAATCATGAAAGGAAGAGGAGACATTACCTTGGTTACAGCTCGAGGTAAGAGAGAAGCATCAGGATTCTGTTCCTTGTAGTCGGATGCTTGCTCTTCATCCCCTGAGGCATTGCTTGCCTTGACGTCTTCACCTGCTTCTAGGGTTGATTCCTGTTCCCGATCACTATTGCAATCAGCTAACTCACCATCCTCATCAACTACATTACCGTCGGCCATGACAATTTTGGGTGAAGGGATATGGTCGTCAGGAAGGAGTAACCTAAGTCGTTTGCCAGAGGGGATTGTAGGTTTGGTTCGGCCTTGATCACCGAGTCCAATCGTCTCAAGTCCGGCCTTGACTGTCAATGCCAACTTGTGACAATAACATCGGATCTGATTGCGAGACGAGTTCCAAAATATCGGATCGTCGCAGTCCATGAACATTGATTCCAGCTCCTTCGCCAAGACTGGGTTGCTGGATCCTGAGTCGGTTGTCTGAGCAAGCATGTGTCATCAGGAAAAACTCATGTCAGCTCTATGGATAAAAAGAGAGAAACAAAACCGAATTCAAAACATAAAAGGAATAATAGAAGAGATGAAATAAAAAGACAGAAGACTTATCTTTTTATGAAGACCGTGTCGAATAAGAAACTTGCCAACTGGTCGAGCCAGCAATGATCCATAATGATTCCATGCTATGAGCTTCAACGTCAGGTGTGTGACGTGAAACTCCCAGTTTTCATCGATGTAAGAAACGGCTACACCGATGAAAGCCCGCTTGCCTCCTTTTGTAGTCCATACATCGTGTATGACACAAATTTTGGAGTCAAGACCCTATGGCAGAAGAGATCGGTGTGTTAGCAAGAGGGATCTAAATAAATTTTGAAAGAAAAAGAAAAGAAACAAAACCTTGAGAGTTTGAACGAGGTTCCCACGGAATTCCTCAAAGTATTCCATTGCTCACCGAGCAGACCATGATGCCGACCAGAGAGTCGCGTTGGGGTTGCAAAGGGCAAATGCTGCTTGAAGGTATGGGTCTTCCATACGAAGCCACGGGATGCAGTTTTGAAGGAGCCACAGGACGAGTATCATATTCAAAAGACCAACTGAGAACTTGGGTAAGTTTAAGAAATCTTGAAGTGAGGATTTCTCGTGCTTATGCTTTTCAGCTTCTTGTGCAGCCACCTTTGCAGCTTGCCGAGCCTTCCAAGGCAAAGGCAAGTTAGCACCAGCAGCAATGGCATTGTCTCGTCCAGCGCATTGTGCCCGACCAGCGTCACCGTCGCGATGGCCTGTTAGGTTCCAATTGCTCCGTTCGCCAATCCTGTACGACTTGGGACAGAACAAGCATCTTCTGTACATCGGTTTCTCGCCGGGTTGCTGTGGGTAGGTAGGAATGGAATCAGTTTTGTTTCTAATGAAACAAAAATAGAAAGCATACCTGTTTATCTTCTCGCCAAAAAAGCTCGGACTCGAAGTAGAGGCTTATATGATCATAAACCTCGACAGGAGACCCAGTTGAATCAGGTCCAGGCATCTCCTCGATATCTGAATCTTGATCTGGGTCGACATTCTTTGGAAGTTTGTAATTCTGTGCGAGGAATTAAAAGTCAACAATCAAACATAAAGGTGAGAAGGGATAGATGGAAACAATTTACCCCTTTCTTGCTCTTTGTTGGTGCCACCGATTTCTTTTTCTTACTGGCGGTAGACTTCTCTTCAGCTTTCCTGTTGCGCTTTCCATCAACCAGAGATTTAGTGCTATTGAACGAGTTATCATGGTTTTCTTTGTCAATTTCGTTTTTGTTTTCGTCATCTTCATCTTCCGTCTCATAAGTAGGATTGTTTTTGTCGGCGTCATCATCTTCATCCTCGTCATCAATGATCACAGTTGTAGGTTGATGAGGCTTGGATTTCACCTTGGTGGTTGACGACAACATTGATGACTTGCGAGTGGACTTGATACTACTAGATTGAGATTTCTTAGAAGATGATTTCGCCATAGTGAAATGTAGCTTGTACGAGTTGTAAGAGAAGTATGAGGAGTGACAATGATAAGAAAAAGTGTATAACGTGATTCTGAATGTGATCGATGTAAACGAGACTTGAAGTGGGATCAAAATAATTGATAGACAAGCGGAAGTATAGGATGAATCGACCGGTGTGAATAATAATCTAGAGTCTGAGATATATGAATCATATAGATCAGATCGAGAATCAGGAGTTGTCGAACCGATGGCTAGTGCAAGTAAGTCCAGGAATGAGGGTGACTGTGAAACTGAAAGATCCAGCTCAGGTGGGTCCTGCCACGCGCCATTAGGCATCCATATTCGGAAATCCATTGATAAGTTGGTCGAGAAGTTCCAATGACGTGAGGATCGAAGATCAATCGAGTCTAGATTGTTACGCAAGGGGCTCTTCAGTACTTTTGATGGTGGCTCACAGTGGCGGAAGCTCCGACCAAAAACGGGCCTTGAAAAGTGCGCAAACTGCGCACACTGCGCAGAATGCACCGGGCTGCACTGCGCCAATGCGCAGTGGTATAAAAACGCAAAGGCCCCTGGGGTGCGTGACAGCGCAGTGGGAAATGTGCAAAAGTGCGGTGCGCGGACACCAGCGCAGGCGCAATTTTCGCGCAGTAAACTGCGCTGCGCGTCAGGGGTTGCCGGTGTACCATCGCGTAATCCTGATCCTCATCCGACCCCCGAACCGGCCGGATTACCCGACTCTCGGGGGTCTCCAAGCCTTTAGCCGACTCCCATTTTAAATTGATTTTCATTGAAACAAATCATTTGAATAGTATGAATCGATTGCGTTATATAAAAAAGATGCCGACGGGTAGACTAGACAGGAATAGACTCAGCACTACTCAGCATCTTCTCTACATATTAGAGTTACGGTTGAATAGAGGAGCCATTGAGTCATGAGAAATATTGTTTATTGGAAGTATGACTGAAGTTCTTCAAGGTTGATCACTTTATAACTTTCTGGGAATTCGTTGATTAATTCGGCTTCTATCTTGCATTGAACTTCTTGGCCTCCAACTGCTTGTGTACCTGAGCTGAGCCAATAAACTTCGTAGCCAGAAGTAAGTGCAGAGCGAGCGGTGGCGACAAGACAATAATCTGCTGCTAAACCTATTTTTATTTGTAAATTGTTAGAATCCATAAGAGATAGCAAAAAAAATAGTACAAGATCATATTTAGGCATGTGAGTTGTGAAAACTAACCCATGCAAACCAGTGTGGATATGTTTCGAGACTTGAGGAGCTTATCCATCGTTCCTGATGAGTCAAAGGCTGAATATTCTTCTTTTTGAGGATCTTGACCCTATAGATACGTATTTCAAATTTAATCAGAGAAATCATTTCAAGATAAGAGGAGAGAGGAAAAAAGCTGTACATAAAGTAGAAATAGTTGAAGAGCAAAATATTATTAAGCTAACCTTTTTCACAAACTGAACCAATTGATCACGTTGAGAAAGCAATTTCTTAATTCCATTTTCAATTTCACAACCTATAGTACCTTGAACCTTTTGTTTTGATTTCAAAAGTAGAATATCAAGGAATCAAAAAAGGTACGATTGAGAAATTGTAATATCAACCAACACAATGATCTGGCCATAGAGCAATTCCAGAGTTAGGATCAATTTTTGGTGGACATTCTGCTTCTTGTTGATGATTTGACGCAAATGAAATATGATCAGGTGGATGGTAATCCTGATGAACAAATCAAGATTTTTCAAAACGCAATATATTCGATCAGTTTTTTTGTTTCAGCGACGATAAGCAACACCAATTAGGTTAACAAAAAATATATAATATGATACATCTGAACTTTTGAATCAAGATTTGCAAAAGCTTGGAAGGCGCTCGATTCAATTTGTCTCTCTGAGAAAGAAAAATGGCCAACCTGACTGGCGATGATCAAAGCCCAGTCGAGTTCCAAAACTTGATGAACAACCGGTAAGATCGCATCTCCGTTTGGTATGGCCAATGAACCTGAAGGGGGTAAAAAATCATTCTGAATATCAACTAAGACTAAAGCTGTTATCTCCGGATTGAGTTTCTGCATCTTCTTCATCAGACTTTGATTATCTCAGGATGAAAGTTAAGAGAAGAGTCCAATGAATTTTTAGAAATCTATCCAAGGGTTCGATGTGAATATATGGACTCGATACGCTTGATGAAGGGGGTGTACCCTGGTGTACCACAAGATAAGATCACCCGAGTGTATTAAATTGATCCGACCCGACATAGCACGGGTCCTGATCCCCATCAAGACTGTGAGCTGCAAACAGCTGCAAACTCATATTCAAGCAAATGAATCCAAGAAAGAAAGACATAAAACTCTTGATGAACAATAACACATTAATCATGTTGTGTACGGTCGAGTACCTCAGGTCATACCCTTAAAAAAGCCATGCATGTGGTTTTTGTTAATACGGCGATAAACAGCGGGATCCACCATCCAATGTATAAACAGTCAATAATGTAGAACTTTTCAGCCTTGACAAGAGGCCATGGCATTATGAGTACCATATTTATGTACTAAAGAGTTCAAATCTAGTTTGTCAATCAAATTGATCAAGTTTCTTTTTTTTTGTTTACTAAAAAATCATCCTGATGCTAGTTCACCTCAATTCTTAAACATAAAAAACAAATCGCAAATGGAAAAGAAAGAAAAAGAAACTAGGAGAAAGAAAACAAAGACATTAGATTCCTTTATTCTTCATCATCATCATCATCATCAGCTATTGCGACTCCTGTCGTTTCAATCACCTCTTCCTTTTCTTCCTCCTCCGCCTCTTCTTCTTCTTTGTTTGGTTCATCTAACTTCACCTTTTCCATCCCTTACACAAATCCAAATCCAAACACACAATCAGCCCCCATCCTAATCGTTAAAAAACACAAGTCATAAAACTTACCATCAACCAATTCAATCTCATCAACTGGCCAACCTTCTTCAAACCCTTCTGGGTTAATTTCAGGATCACCCAAACTTTCAGCTAATTTATTTTTCCCTTTAATCTCTAATGATTTTTTCCATTCTTTAATCACCTTAGGTATCAATTTAGGACAATATGTTCTTGCAAACAATCCTGCTTCTGATTCTCTACCTGTTTTTAATAATGTTTCTATACATTTTTCGGTTTCTCCTAATTGAAATTGACATGCAAAACTTATATTGTTCGCTCCACTTTTTTCTGTTTCAATCCATAAGAAAATTAATCAATCAGTCAATCATTTAATATCTCATATCCATTAAATCAATAGAAAAAGTACTCAACCTGCTCGTTCGGCTAATTTTTTCAATCCATTCCTATCACCACTTGAACAATAAATCAATAAAAGCCCACTAAGATCATCTCCATGATCAAAACATTCTTCTGCAAGTGTCACGTTCCAATCATTCAAAGCCTTTTCACCAATCGTCCTCCATTTAGGTTGAGCACCCGAATCTTTTGAATCTTTAACTAATTCTAATGCATACTCTAAATTACCTAATTGAATGGCCAATTCAAATTTATGATCTGGGTCATTTGAAACTTCCATAGCTAATTGTTTCAAATCTTGAGATTCTAAGAATCTTCCAATCCGATTCCTTTGATCCATAGGTACTGACTCTAACAAGTTCGAAGCTGATTCCAAATCTCCATGTAAAATCGCAATTTGATATTCAATCACCGATACTGCTAATCCGAATGAATAAATTGCGCACTCTTTATCACAAAGATAGACTCGATTGTGACTTGGAAGGTAACCTAATAGAAACATAGGTTGATCGAAGTGACTAATCGTATGAGTTTGTCCTCCTACTACGTAATTCAATCGATTCGACCCATTAGTATAAACCAAACAATCTCCAACCCATTTACCCGTCCTGACCACTTCCGTCAACTCGTGTAATAATTCAAAAGCTTCTTCAACCCCTTCATCTCCTACTTCACCTCCTTCTTCTAAAAATGTACTATAAGCATCTCTGTTGAATCTCAAAATATAAACCGATTCTTCTCCAGCGATCGCTACAAAGTTTCCGGAATTCGACCAATAAACATCTCTAGCTTCAACTTCCATCCTTCTTACTAACATTCCAGTTTCCCAATCATAAAAGCAAACAAATCCTGATCCTTTAGTACAGAATAATGCACCACCAAAAATTAATTCAGTTGAATAATTGATCTTCACGTGTCCTGGTCTCTCTTTGAAGTTTTTGAAAATTTTGATCTTAAAACTCGATTCTCGAACCGCGTATGTATTTGAGTCGGCTGCCCAAGCAAATCCTACTCCAGTTCCAAAGGCTTTGTTTCGCCATGCTAGCGCTGTATAGATAATAAACTCGCCATCGCCACAGACGGTCACGAATCGGCCATTGGGTGAATGTTGAAGACTTTGTGCGAATACTTCGGTGTTCCCAAGTTCACGGACGGCGATGTTCAACTTCTGTCCATCAGGAATTTCGTTGTCTATGATTAGACAGTGAATGTGAGTGCATGTGTGAGTTTAAGGGCAGACATGAGACAACTGGTTCAAAAGATGTGATAGATTGGGGAATGTTAGAATCAAACTGACCTTGGTTCGCTGCAACGTTAGCCGTAAGAACCTCTGCATTCCTCGTAAAGACTACTTTACCAGCCACATCCATACTGACACTAGGTTCCTCTCGACCCAGTTTGATCACTACTGAACCTTCATCGAAACCAAGACCAAGGTCATTACCTTTCTTAGAATGATAAGTCACACACCAAGCTCGTTCGAGTCCATAATTAAGTGTGTTCTCAAGTCGATAAGTCGAGGCGTGCCATATCTTGACTGTTCCATCCTCTGAGCCGGAGATGATGATGGGCAATGAGGGATGAAAGATTGCGTAGGATACGTTAGATTGATGACCTTCGAGTGTCTGGATACATGACTTGGAGTGATAATCCCAGATCTTGATTAGACTGTTGCAAAGGAGACAAGCAAGTGAGTTAGTTCGAATTCTTAGGTTTGAAGACAAGCAGCGAAGGTCGATTAGGTGATATTGGTAAACAAGATCACCCACCGATCATCACCAGTGGTGACCATATAAGGCTTATCACCGCCATGATAATACTCCACATAATTCACACCCTTCTCGTGTGCATCAAGAGTGAAGTTTGCAGTTTGGGATCCGAGAGACCAAACCTTGACCGTTCGATCAAGACACGAAGAAGCAAATGTATTGGAGTCTTTAGGGTTAAACGCCAAGTTCATGATATAATGTGCGTGACCTTCGAAGACCTTTTGGAGACAATATATACATCAATATCAATCTCAAAAGAGAAGGTGATCGACATTCAAGTTGAGTTGCTTGCTAACCTGAATACATTTCCATGATTTCTCCCAATCCCAAAGTTTGATGGTCATATCATCACTCCCCGTGAGTACAAAAGGTTGAGTGGGATGTACTGCCAGACATCTATGAAAATCGATAATCAGTCTGAGTCCTGGTCAAGCATTTTGATTTGTTCCACCGTACCGAATGTAATCAGGATGTGCTTCGAATCCAGAAACACGCTCTGAGGTATTGTAGTTAAAGACTCGGAGATGGAAATCATCTGTACAAACCAGTTTATTGCTTAGTTTTGTTCTTCAGGAAATCATCTATACCCACACAGAACGAAGCTCGATGAGAACCAAGATACGGACCTGAACCACACACAAACCAATTTTTGCGAGCAATAAATTTGGCGCAACGAACTGGCACTTCAGTAGGAGTGAAAGATTTGAGTAATGCCTATTTGTAAGAGAGTTGGATGAGTTCAGCAAGTTGTCAGAAAAGCTCATGTATGCATCTTCTCTCGATCATCTTGGGCTTACACCAGTTTCAGTATGCCAAACCAAAACTTTCCCAGAGTAAAGCCCAGATAAAAGCCATGGTTCGGTTGGATGAAAGTCGACAGTCTTTACACGTTCTGTTGTTCGATGACGATGAAAGTTAGTGGTAAGATGAGACTCAAAAGGCATTAATTTGATTGTTACCTGATCGAGCCAATAGTTTTCGATGAACTTCTAAGAGCATAGTGTTGTGTTGATGATGATACTGATGATGGTTTCTTGAATAGTGTTGAGGATGTTGAAGTAGTTTTAGTAAGTTGATTTCATTTGGTGGTATTGGTTGGCTAGTTGGTTGGTTGGTGTTGTTGACTTCGATCGATCATCAAGCTTAATGTCACTTGACTCTATGTATAAGCATACACAATCTTAATATCCTACTACCTAATCTCACGCATCAAATACATACCAAGTCACTCTTGCCACTTTGATTTCAACACATGCCCATTTTAAAACATCTGATGACTTGAAACAACTTGTATCAGCATAATTATTTCTATATGATGATACTTTCTCGAGGGTGTTTGAGAAAATGGAATTGGATGTAACTTGCTTGGCAAGTTGAAGTTGCTTGAATTTAAGATTTTTGTTTTGTTCCATGCTTTTTTCGGATTTTATAATTGAAAAGTGTCTGTGTTATGACTTTGATATGCAGAGCATAAGATTTTCAGAATGTCACAGCCCGTTGAGAAATAAATTTTGTTTGAACATATGGATTCCTTGACTGAAGTTTCATCATCATTTCAATAATTCTTACAAGATGTTCTAATGATAGTTTAATCCGCTCATGATGATTCCATTTTGATATATGCTAAAGACATGTTTTTAATACAGAAGAGACAGTTGCGGAAAGTGATCAAATAAGTCTCCTTTTGCTTGTATGATTTATGGAGGTCCTACAAATCTGGTGGCTCCACCTTGTTGAAAGTACTACTACCTGGTCTAGTTCAGTGAGCCAGGTGGTACAGAGCAGGCGCAGGCATGATCGTGAAAATGTACATCATAATTTGAGTACCCTAAGAGACTCAAAAAAGTTCTCAAGAGATTCTAGGAATAGCGCAATCCCAAGGCCCCCTCAAGTCCCTAAGAATGAAACATGAAAATCACATCAGCAAAACCATTTTTGAATATCTTGAAAGAGACTGAGAGGACATACTTCTTATATCGTTGTACAAAAGAGTATATTGCAGGTAAAACTAAGCAAGTACCTATCGGAACAATCAAAGTGTAAAGAGCTAGAGCAAGGCCAGAAATGGGAGCGATGACTGAAGCAGCAATGAACCCAAGCGATACGTTTAACACGATTGGTCTAAGGTCTGAGTTCGGATGCTTTCGCTATTGGAAATGGAATTCATTTATCAGAATCAGGATGCTATTCCGTTGACTGCTGGTCCTCCAGTTTGAAGAAAATTACTGACGATCATATCACGACGCATGATAGGAAAGAGAGCAAACCATTGTAAAGCAAAGATCGTCAGACTGAAAACGCCTGCATTAGAATCTAATCTTGATCCTAATAAGACAGATGCAAAGATGGCCGCATTGAGTGATAAAGCGGAAACAAAGCTAAAATGGATAATAACTTGTTAAGTACGATAGGATATGAGGTTGAATAAGACTACAGGGGGACTCACCTGATGTCTACATTAGGATTTGTAATCTGATAAGGATAATCAGCTAATAGGATATTGATCGATATCAGAAGGGTGGTTAAAGCATAAATTGAATCTGAAGAAGTGGAAAGAGTCAAGGTTTTGAGAACAGGAGAAAGTAGCAATATGAGAATTATGAGAATTACGGTTGATCGCAGAGTGTGTATACCTATCGAAAAAATCACCCGAGGTAGGGTATAATACTGTATGAGTTCAGGAAACGTGTAATGCCAGAGTAAGTTAGCGTACGGTTAAGCTCTCGACCTGGTTTAGCTCTTTCGTAAACAATGTAGCCAAAGAATCCTATAGATAGATTGACCCAAATGAGAAGCTAGGGTGTAAAGATATGGCATGTGCTCAGGTACTGATTAGTACGACCTTTTAGAGCACGTTGACAGCAATGATGAATCTAACCTGAGGATCAATCTGGTGGTTTTGAAGGTGCAAGAAGAGACCAATAAAAATGGTGATAGATGATAAATGAGACGAAAGCGGTAAAGATGATAATACTAAAGTCGAGTATTGATGATGAGATCTAATTGATGATTTGTTCGAATGTAAGTGATTGATGAGGGATCGTGATTGGTAGTTATCTCGATAGGGTTGTTTCAACCAAAGCACTCGTCTAAAAGGTGGCGGCGAAGCCGATGTAGCGTTATCATCATGATTAGCATTGTCAACCGATAAATCGAATCGCTGAGCCCGGATTTTGTCATCTGTAATCGCAAGTTTACAGCTTTAGCAAGGCCGCGTGTAAGGAGGGGGAGATGATTATAACATTGAATAAGAGAAGGAAAACGTACACTGGTGGGCGGTCAAGTCAGCTATAGGACCCTCCGCGTTGCTTTCAAGGACACCTTCCTCAGCCATACCCATGCTGACACCAGAGTCAGAAGTCTCCACGCGTTGTGGGGATTGTTGAAGTTAACCGCTGGAAAAAATAGCCTTTGGTAAGAAGTTGATGATATCACAGTGAAGCTGGAAAGAAAAGACTTGCCTGTTTCAAACTATCTTTCATAGAGCATACTCGGCCCTCTTTCAATTTTGGCAAGAATGGATCGATCGTGGAATGTGATTTGGAATCTGGATGCTGTAAATTTGATCGGCCTGTCAAATTTTGGTCATTTCTGGTCGGTCGGGTGAGCTGCGGCCTCGAGCGACGGTCGTGATGCGACTTCAAATCGTCCATCAAGCCAGCTCTGTGACCGGACATCAAATCGCAACACGTCAAATGTTCCTGGACCCTACCTCATTCTCCTTCAAATTCATTGAGAATCAAGGATGAATGCTCCACCATCAAATCCAATATCTATGTAAGGAACAGACACCATTTTCTCGAGGATCTCATCTTAACGCAATATAGGTTGACGGAATGAGAGCTATATCCGTACACACATCTTGATCGACAAACCACTTCTTCCCTCAATCGTACTACCACTCGACACTTCTGATCCTGTTTTAAGGTATCTCTCACAGTGTAATCCAAGCCCCCAGATGCCCAATGCTCCAAATTTGACAGCAGAAGAAGAACAACTTACTTCTGAGACTCTTTACACGATGAAGCCTGATCTCCTTCACTAGTTTTTTTGAGATGAAAATGCAGGCCAATTTTGAGCTCCTTGTGAAGGATTTTCTGGCTGTTTGTACAACTTCGATTGACATCTGTTGGTTTGAAGATCCTTAATGTTGCAGCACTTCCCATGTGGGCTAGAGAGGGAGGGCTATAAAGCAGTTGCATCCTCATTTGCACACGGGAAGAGTCATATACCTTGAACCGTGAGAAAACGCACGGACAACCTGGCCGAGCGGTTAAGGCGATTGACTAGAATTTTCTCCCTCTAGGATCACACAGATCAATCATCAATTGGAGTTTCTCCGCGTAGGTTCAAATCCTGCGGTTGTCGCTTTTTGATGAGGGGGAGGGGCTTGCTGACCACGCGACAAGACCTTGAGTGTTGAACCAGCTGTGAAACAGTGCTGGAGTATATAACAGTCAATTCTACAAAAGCTTGAGCTTTTGTGATTCTACTCACAATGATAGGGTGTGAATTGTAAGCAGGAAGTAACTTGGGGTTTGTATTGCCATGATGATGCGAGCTGTTTATATAGTCGAGCATCATATCGAGAGAGATGAATAAGGAAATATAAGAGAGATGATACAACAAGAAGGTGATCGGGGATCACCATAATACAAGTTAGATGGAAGAAAAGAAAGGACCGAATCCGGTATTACAGGATTCGGTTTACAACCTAATAATGTGGAGGCGCGGTACATGGTCGGTACGGATCTGGCAAGATCCGTTTTACAAGTAAGATAGAGAAAAAGAATATAATAGGATAAGGGAAATGAAAAGCAATGTGAAAATAGAAAAGCGCTAAAAGTGCGTAAGTCGAGAACAAAGGTATAACCAGAATAGGGAATCACACTTTGTGGTAAACTTTTCTGCATTGACTGTGCCTAATTGGTATCTTTCCTTTGTTCTCGTTGCATGTGCTTTTCTGCTTTCTATTTGTGTTGTTTCTGCCAGACTGCTTTTCTTATTGGAGAGATCATTATATCCAGATCCTTACCAATCATCTACACCAAGCATGGGTCCTGACTGGTGTGCGCCGGTCATAAATGGCGGCCCCACATTGGACCTTCTGTAAGCAGGGGGACTGGTTGTCTTTTGTTGGTCAGTGTGGCAACAATTCTGGTCCAAAAAGCAGGCAAATGGGGGTTCATCAGGGGTGTGGCTTTGTTTACCTTATCTTGCTGCCAGGGGCTGCCCAGCACGGCCTGTGAATGATGCAGGCCTTCAGTAAGTGTTTTTCCGCCAAAAACATTGACAAAATTTGGTTGCTCAGTAGGAAAAAAGGCAACTGGTCCAAGAGAGGTTTGGGTTGGTATTCAATGGCTCAATAGCCTGTGCATCACATTATCAAGATGCAGTGACGGCTTGGTTTTTTATAAATACAACAGTAATCTCATTACATCACATGTTCCCCCTGAATATCACAGCCCCCAATCACTGGTCACTGGCAGGCCAGTGCATCCCAATGTTTTCAGAATGTTTTCCATTGGTAGTTCAACTGACCCCAGGCACTTTTTAAGAAGTCATCAGACAGATCTCCATTGCTCATTAATCAAAACCCCTCCATTTGGTAACAAGATCTTGACCAGTATTCTAAAGCATCTGGACTTTACTTCAAGAAGATCTTACTACTTATTGAACATATTTCAACCAGTGATTCAATGGTTATTAATATTAGCAGGACAGGAAGTCTGACATTGTGGGTCTGATTTGTGAATTGTATGCCTGGTCAGTACAAGCATAATCAATTCCAATGTGTATCTCCAGTTCCTTCCTCAAATCATCTAGTAGCTAAAGGCTATTCTGTGCTACCCCTCACCACCAGATCTGGGACTGGTCCCAAATGTTGAGACTTTTTTCAGGAAAAAAAACTAACTACATATGGGCAAATAGCACCATAGAGTAGGTACTTGAGGCCTTCAGGCTGTGTACCTAAGGCACTAGGGTAGCTTATCTAGGGTCATAGGAACTCAAAACAGAAGCTACTGAGGTGCCTGAGCAGGGATTTCAGGTTCCTAGCCTATGTCTGGTCCCAAATTTCTGCCAAATGTTAACCATCAAGATAGAAAAAAAATCAAAAATGCTTCAGATGACCTTGAGAAGATATAGAAAGATTAAGCTCCCTCATCTGATTCTACCCATGTAATTATCTCCTTGAAATCTTGCTATTGAAGTTTCTATTCTTGAGCTCAAAAACAAATCTAGTTTTGGCAGGGGAGATTGTAGTACCAAGTAGCCTTTAGCTACTGTACCTCTTATTACTCAGGATCCAAAAAACGTAAATTATGAAACATGTATAATGATTTGTTACATAACCTTCTACAAGATAAAATGTAAATTTGGCACCACCCATACCATCCTTTTTTTGGGTCTTGCACAAACTTCTACACAGAACTTGTAAGTAAATCACCAGAAAAATAAACCAATTCCTTGAAATTTCAAACTTCCCAGGGCAACCATTATCAAATGTTCTTACTGCATTTATGATTACATCAAGATGTCTGATGATCCTGTGACACTGGAAGATGGGTCAGATACGTCTATACCAATGCTTTAAAGTAAAAGCCTTGAGCCTGATTAAAGCCACAGACATATGTGGTACCCTTGAGCCTGAAAATGTTTACTTGAACCTAGCCTGGTTCAGGATATCTTCAATCTCCAGGTCCCTTGAAGAGGCCCTCACCCTCTATGACTTCAATTTCAGAAGAAATCCAGTCGAATTCATCTACTTAGACATTTGTGTAGATGTTCCTGTGTAACCATGTTTATGAAGCATTATGCAGTGGCACTGCATAGATGCTGAAGAAAAAACCTTCTCAGAGACTTTTTCCCATAAGCCTTCTTTATACCCATAGACAGATGTACAACATATGGCAAAGGTCAGTGCTCTTCTGCACAGGTGGGTTTGTAGGTTTGTTGATGAGATTTTGTGGGTTGTCATTCCAACAAAAACTGATGATTACATTGAATTTAATCTACTGAAACTCTGTTTATTGATCAATATTCAGTGTCACTATTCCAATTCTTATAAAAAACTTGGAACCAATTTGCCTTGTAAACCTTGTTTATCTCTGTAGGAGATATGCAACATGTAGCAAAGTTTGGTGGTCTGCTGTACAGGTCTGTACAATTCTTTATTGCTACTCTTCCAAAGAAGAATATACTTATGATTTATCCAAGTCAATTACACAGATTTCCTGTGGAAAGTTTTTTTATCATTCAATTTTTGGGGTCACCATTCTAAAAATGATGGAAAACAGAATCCTGAAGAAACAACTTTCCTGCAAACCTTGTTCATCCCTGTACACAGCTACGCAACCTGCAGCTGATTCTGGTGGTATTGTGTACTGGTCCGTGTGTAACGGGTTTGCTGAGATATTGTGATTTTTGTATCCTTTGGCCGGAAAATGAAGATAGACTTGAGCCTTAGTGGTCTTGACTACAGACTGGGTGCAGGCCCTATCTAGCAAGAGCAAACATGGCCCTGTGCCTAGGTTTTAGTCAGTACCACCTGGGCTCACAGCTATATTCACCTTCTATGGATATACAATTCACAATATCTCAGCACCCAGGTACATATAGACCGGTACAAAATACCACCAGAATTTGCCAGGGGTTGTGTAGCTTTTTCTGGGTATGGACAAGGTTTGCTGGAGGAATGTTTTTAGGGACTTTGTTTTCTGACAGTGTGAGAATAGTGACCTCAAAAATTGAATGATAAACAAACTTGGCTCAGATAAGTGTATGCTTCTTGTGCAGAAGATAAAAATCACATTTTTTAGTGACAAAGCATTACATATAGACCTGTACAGCAGACCACCAGACATTGCCACATGTTGCACATCTTTCTACAAGGATGAACAAGGTTTACAGGGAGCACCTCTCTTGACAATCATTTTCTTCAGCAATGGAGTAGCAACATTTGATATTGATCAATAAACAAAGTTTCATGAGAGAGATTGCATAAAACCATGTTTTTTTCTTCAGAGAATAGCAGCATCATGGTATCTCAGCAACACAAAGCTAGTGCTTAAGTGATCTCTGTCTTGCATCAGTCTGCACCTGGGTAGTCATTGGTCAAGATCATTTAAATAACAAATTGAGTGAGTTTTAATGACTTGGCAAGATTTTTTGTAACTGGCCAAGGTCTTCTTGATGACTTGCAAGGTCATTTTAAAAACTGCTTAAGATTAATCTTATGCCTGTACAAGACCTGTGCCATAGATGTTTAAGATATGGATGATGACTGGTTTGAAACTGATTAACCTCAGTTGGAAAACCTATTGACAAAAACTTGAAGTCATGGGATACCCTCGCCTTCCAGTCACCAGGGATTGGGGGCTGTGAATTGAGGGGTCCAAGATCAAATTGAAACACTGAGTTTTCAGAATGTCATAGCCTCTTTTGGGGCCACGGCTCTTTCCACTTCAAGGAGATCCCCTGGGTCTTTAATATCCTCCTCAAAAGGTAAGTTGAAGGTCACTGTTGTTGGAGAATATCATTCTCATGCAAGGTAATATTATTCTCAAGCAATTTTTCCCACAGCTATTGCCTTCTTTGTCCTTTGTAGGAGATGGAAGACTATATAAAGCCTCCCTGTCCTCCCTTGGAATGAATCCTCAAATAACTTCTCTGTCACACTTACTGTACCAAGATTGTAATAGAATTACATTAGGAAGACTGAATCACCGTATGGATCTATTATTTCTGCAAGTGTTTCTTTCGTGAGAAGAACAAAGGTGAATGACCACACATGCAAACCAAATTGATTAAAACAGAAAACCGAACAAAGCGAAACATGAAAGACGAAATTTAAAGAAAGTAATGATAACCAATGATAATCGAAGGGAGAAACATACAAGCCTGTATATAAATACAGTCAATCGATGGGTTTAAAGATACTCTTAATCAGGATAAAAGAAGAAAAGTTTACAAGACATGAAAAACGAGAGTAAGGATTGATGTAAACGAACGAATGCAGCAAATATTACAAGCCGAATGAAAACGACAACTTGAGATTATAAGAGTATAAAGAACTGAGGAATCAATTGAAAATGAGGTTCATGCCATTCAAAACGTTACTACGCTTACATCCCCGTGAGCAGGGCCACTGGTAGGTTTTTGATCCATCACATCTAAAACTACTCGGGCAACGATCTCTTCTACTTGCTCTTGCCGAGCACTTGAGCCTGGAAGAGTGATTGTCCTACGTGCGACAATTTGGATCGGAAGTACACCAACGTCATCTTTACCCGGGATCCCCCACACCTGAATCCAATATAAAACAAAGAGTCAGATTGACAAGATTCAAAGCGTTTGAAGCCAGCGGGTGGACATCAAAAAATAAACGACGGCTTACCTCGTATTCCCTAGGATCGAAATGTAGCCACTCAGGAAGCTGCTTTCTATCTTTATCAACTTGACCCGGGTAGTAGGTCAAAGCAAAGTAGGTTGTATTGCTTGACGAGACATGATTCCGACTTCGACCAGGTGAGCCTTCGCTACTCATCAAAGCGCCTGACGGGGGATTGATTTTCGGTGTCATATGAAAAGGCTGTCCTACCCCGACATTGACGACGATAGGTCCGCTGAGATTGTTTAATCTTTCGTTGCTGGAGTTCGATCGATACAAATCTGGAGATGGACTGGAAGCTGTGTAGCTACTCCCACTTGTTGAATCATGGTGGGAAGGTTGATCGGACGCAACTTGAGGGTGTGATGATTGATCGGGATCCCTGCGATCGGTTTCAGGATAACCTATGCACAGGGGTGATGGAATCTTGGGAGATGAGATATGCCAGTTCTGATCGCGGGGGGGAGAGAAAAAGATGGCGGAAGTAGCAGGAGATCCATTGATTGGTGCTGGGGGAGTGTAAACCGAATGAGCACTCAATCTTTGAATATCACCGAGATCAGACTCTTGTCCAGGTGGGATATGTGACTGCCCATCCCCATCAGCATCTTCGGTTATTGAATCATGGATGACCGATGATGAAGCGCTACGAATTTGAGGGCTTTGGCTACGATTGGGAACATGTTGAGACTTGAATGCAATTAATCTTGGTCTGAAGGAAGTGCTCGAACTCTCCTCTTGAACCCCAGCTGGAACTGATTGAAGAGATTGAGGACTTATCGTTCGATAAGCAGCCGTCTTGATTGCACCGAAAGACTCAGATAAGCCAATCCCGTCATCATCACTGGTGTTTGCATCAGAACTCGATCCAAGATCAACTACCATTCGAATCGTTCCAACGTCCACGCCATCAGATTGACGCTCAGGTCTTGAGGCCGCCGGTTTGAAATCTTTTCGTCGTCGAGGAACAGACGCCGAAGGTTTGACCAACCACTTGCCTTTGGGACTTCTGGATGACGCTGCTTCGCTATCCTCGGCTTGTGTATCAGAATAAAATAGACTTGAACTTCCAGTTGTATTCCAACTCGACCGTTGATCATCAGTGGATGTCGCGGGATGTCGCATGTAATTGGCCGGAGGCAGAATGTCTTCTGAATCATAATCGTCCTCTTCCTCCTCGATGGCTTCGTCGTCCTCGGCACTAGGGTCTGAGCTTGCTAGAACATTGATAACTCGGTGATCTGGTGATACTATACCGAGTCCACGAAGGGAAGGATGAGAGTTGGAATCTAACCGTTGACGCTGCGAAGGTTTTGTGAAGACGTTGAAGATGTCAAGGCGTTTGAGTGCTTTTGGTGGAGGCTGGGCAACACCAGCGACTGCTAACTCGTTCGGAGTCACCACCATCATTGGCCCACCTGCTTCTGCCTCCTTCTGCCATTTAGGTGAGTGGACCCCAACAAAGGTGTCTCCGAGGCTAAGTGGGGTTTCCTTGATACTGACAGCTTTACCGATGTCTGATTTTTCTCCAGGATAAGCGTAATGCGACTGATAGACATCCTCTTCTTCAAGCTCGCGCAACCCATCCGCTGAGCAATATTTTCGACAGCTCCGCATGATCAAGATCAAGAGCATAATGCCACCTAGTGTTCCAAATACCACAGCGATAGCCATCTTACCACCATCGGACAAACTTGATCCTGAGGAAGAGGACGAAGCTGGTTGATCATCAAACTGAAATGGTAATTCTGCAGAAGACCTCAGACCGTTCAACCCCGTGGCTTGCAGGGTCACCGTTACAGGCGCGCCTTGGCTGTCATAGCTTTCTGGAGGAGTACCGGAGAGTGTAAGTGGGTAAGTGGTGAAATGAATCCAATTTTGAGCTTCAGGAGGAGATATTTGAGCAAGAGAATAAGTAGCGTTGAGATTTGAGGTGTATTGGCTCAAATCGAGACTGAAAGCTTGACCGGGCTGCACACGTAAGGCTGGTAAGACAGGTGCAGTGAACAGGCCAGGGAGAACTCTCAAGACAACGTGTGTGGTGATATTGTTGTGGCAGCTTGGGGTATTGAAGATCACAGGTATAGTAACATTAGTTTGAGCTAAAAGGGACTCTGGAAGGGTGCCACTGATTGAATGATGCTCTTTATCATGGGTCAGATAGGGTGTGGCTGATAGATCGACAGTTTCCGAGACGGGGGTTGTCGAATTGCGGGGAGACCCATCAACGTTGAAATTGGCCATGGGAATGACGTAGTTGATGATGCTTTGAGCTGTGGCATTGATAGGTGGCAAAGATTGAACTAAGTCGAGGGTGTGTTGAGTGACGGTGAAGGTGAAGGTTTGACTTAAATCCCCATACCCCAAATGATCACTTCCATACACCACAATTGTCACATCGTTTTGCTCGTTGGGACTCACTCCGTCAAAAGTCGCGGTGTTAGTGTTGAACTTGATCCAGCTGGGTAGCGTAGTGGTACCGGCTTCGTATGCCGAATAATAGATTCCAGCGCCAGAGGAGGTCACAAAGGTATCCGGTAAAAGCCCAATAGACCATGACCAGTTCGGTGGGACGGTGATACCCTTAGTAGCATGGTTGTACTTGGCGGAGCCTATAACAGCACCATTACCGAGCTGAGTATCCAAGGGAAGCTTGACGCGAGGAGGAGGACTATCCACAACTAGCATACTGAATTTATCGGATAGCGAACTTGAGTTATCAGGCGCGTGAGCTGTTATTATGACGCTAATACTGCCGAGGTGGGATGTATCAGGGGTCCCTTGAATGGAAGCTACATCTGATTTGAAGCTGGCCCATGAAGGGAGATTAGTAGCGGAGTAGGTGACTCCAGCATTTCCAGTTGAGCTGTTGAATGTACCAGGAAGGATAGACCATGAAAATGGGACTCCAACGCGTGCAACAGGAGGTCTTTGATCCGAAAGAGGATAGACCACAGAAAGGCGAGGAGACGGAATGGCCTGCGCGAGGTTCGAAAGGAATATGATTGAAAGCAGAAAAAACATCATATTGATGATGGGAAAGAGTGTTGTGTCTAGGTCGAAGTAGCGTATATCATATAAATTGATGTTCGCAAGTGCGTCAACTTTGATAAGTGTGAGGTGAGTCGACGGCGCGTCCTTGAACAATGGTATTGGTGAAAAGACTGGATATGTGAAGCAGAGCGTCATTATCAGCTATCATGAGGCATCATCAGCTGAGAAGACTTTATTGCAACTGACCAGTAGGGATGTAAAGTTGGTATGATTAAAATATTAATCAAGTACAAAACACAAGTACGCAAGGACAGAAAACTAAATCTAGCCTTGTGGAGAGGCGTGAACTAAGTGAAAGTGGGTGAGGATTCTAAGGAATCCAAAGACGAACACGGGTCGAGGTTAATTGATTGAGACCTACGTCCAGATATTTGAGAGACGCCGAGTATTGGCCGTTTTTGTATAGAAAAGAGTTAGGAAGACACAGAATAAGCACCAAACAGACCGCAGACGAAAAGTAACAAAGTGATAGAGATGATATTATAGAAAGCTTGAGTAGAGATTGAGGTCTTCGATGGATATCAAAATAATCAGGTTTGAGGTCAGCGTCAGTCCAAAAGTTTTATTCAAAGGTTAAGCTTAATTCATGATCTACTTCTGACGGTTGTGCCTTGAAGGAAAAAAAACCCCGCCACAATGATGATGTTCAAGTTCAACAAAAACACGGAATCAGTCTTTCGATGATTCTATTGAGAGTAGCCAAACGAAGCTTTGGAGGTCTCTTTCTTTCGATCCTGTCCACTACTTGGCAAGATGATATCGATATCAGATTCGAGCGCTGAGATTCCTCTCAACTTAATGTCTACGTGGTGCTATAGAAGATATTTTTCGACTCAAGTCGCCTACCTATGAGCTGCAGCACCCCTACCTAACCGATGACTAGTGGCTTGTGCCTGAATGGATAGAACGGCGCGCGTGCGCGAAAATATATGATCAACACGTCGCGTCTAGTTTGGCCGGCCAACCTCGTGTGTTCCTCGTCTGAATGCAACAGGAATAAGATCAATTTCACGGTACTTTTTAACCTTGTCTCAACCTCATTGATCTGGTATGTATCACTGCCTAGCTTTCGTGATAACCCAACTAATCTGATCTAACATGTTGATTACCACATACATATATGAGAACCTGATCAGCTCTTCGGAGCGTTCGGGTACTTTCAGGGAGACCCTCACACATATCTCATGTGAACATCGACTCCACCCTCAAACTCAAGAGGTAATACATAACTGACTCGACACAAGTACAAACGCTCGCAAGCTCGCCAGACACCGGAGCTTTCAAAGATGATTCCAGTGTCTGAACTTGGAAGAAATACTCGGGTTAAATGCATGTCTGAAATACAACCACTACAACTAGGCGGATTGATACGGAGAACAGACTAATCCGCCGCTAGCTTATGAGGTAAGACGCCAGTAAGATCATCCATGGGGCAGGCCAAACGATCAGTGCTTTGAAAGAGTTCCAGGTCCTCAAACACGGGGAAGAGAAAGCTCGCCGTCAAAGTATGATGGCCTCCTTTCTCAGAAAATTTCTCAGAGAGAGGAGCTGGGTGATGGTGCTCTTGGTCAACAAAAGAACCGCACATGACCAAGTTCACCCCCGATAAACATCAGCGAAGGAAAAATCTCACAAAGGCATATGTCTGAGAACCTCGCCACCTCTCCGATTGATGCCCCCGATGTTCCACTACCAAGCCTCAGGCTCGCCTCTCAAGTAACTCAACAGAAATCTACAATATACCGACGCGAAACTTTGAGCCTTTTCTCAGGACGGTTGACACCAAAGCGAAGACTGGCATTGACTTTATGGGTGCCTTGAGACGTAGTCAATCAAAATGAGCTAGATACTGCATTCAGTTGCAAGTGTTCAACCCCAGACATTGTGTTGCTGTCAGCGTTTCCGTGGGTACAAATATCATTCTGTAGAGCAGACAAGCCAATTCAGTCCACCTCTCGCTCTTCCAATTTCCAAAGACCAAATCCACAAAAGAATCAAAATGTCACAAACTTGAAGTGAATCCAAGACCCAAAATATAAGCTATACATTCACATTCATATACGAAAGAAACATCCATGAAAGTCCATTGTTAAATAAATATGATTTGCAGATGCAGAGAGAGGAAAAAGTGTCAATCGAATGAAAAAACCAATTCAAGTCAAAGAAAGTAGAATGTGATCATCATAATAATAATAGAGATTTTCAAAGAAAATCTAAACAAGAGCTTATCAACACGCTATTTGTTAGAAAATCAAAATCAATACTCAATCTACAATTCTCAAATACCACCAAAACAGTAAAAAACAACGAAAAACTTACAGAAGAAGCAGAAGATGAAAACGCTTTGTTTTTAGACCTAAGAATATGTTTAAAAGCTTTATTTTCTCCAAGATCATCATCATCATCATCATTTTGTGAAGCATCTAATTGATAAATTAAATCTAATGTAGGATCTTGAATTGAAATCAACTTTAATCCTTCAATAGGTTTACAAAAACGATTTGTTCTTGAATTGATCTGATTTATCTTTTTTGAAAAAAAGAAGAAAAACAAAACTATCAGTTTTTTTCCCCATCAACTTCTTTTTACGTATAAAATTACTTGCAACTCAACTGGTCTACCTAATTTTAATTCTTGAGTATCTTCAATAGACAATATAAAGGAGAATTGTAGGAATATTAACAAAAGATGAAGTTTGATAAAGTCTATCAAATTGAATTTCATGATGACATATAAATCGGAATTGAAGACCCTTATAAACACAATGATTTGTCTTCAATCAATCAACCTTAACATTCGAAAGAGAAAGACATCAACAAATCCAACCAAAGGGATTTATTTGACTGCTTCTGCTCATTCCGTCATGTCTCAACCTCCGTCAAACTCGTATTTTTCCAAGATAAGGAGAAGAGAGTTACCAAGTAGTGTTACATTGACGAAGTAGGTTACCTTACCACCCGAGGGACATTCTGCTCAGTTATTTCTCGTATTGATACTCGGTTGCTAAGTATAAACTTAAATCTAACCTAAAAGCATGAGACAATCCATGATCACCCAATGGTGTTCAACGTTAAGCTTCGATTGTCCTCTTACTGAGTATCACGAATAAAGCCCCAGAAAAGTTGATAGAGTAAGTAGATAGTATAAATACAACTAAAATATAAAAAACGTGAGTTTCTTTTTCAGTGAAATACAAAACAGAAACGATTTCCTGATAAAAATTCGGGGATATCATCTGCATCTGATCTATAATCACATAAAAGATATCATGATCAACATAAACCCACAAGTCTTTAATTTGTTTCACAAGAATAGTGCGATGATCTTTTAAATGACACACAATATCATCTTTTTGAAAGAAAAAAATATGTTTTATCAAGACGATTAATCTTGAAGTAAACTTTGAGATTTCTTCAAGACTTGATCAACCGTCGGTCTAAGTTTAGGATCCAAAACCAACATTTCTTTGATCAAAGTTTTCAATCCGTCACTATAACCTGTTTGATCCTTCGAAGGAAACTTCCATGAACCATTCATCACAGCTAAAGCCATACTACCACCTTGTTCAATCGTATCATTTGTTTCAAACGGTGAATGTCCATATGCTAAACAGTATAGAACACAACCTAATGACCAAATATCTACAGCTTCAGTTAATGGTTCACCTGTTTTGACATCAAACAACTCAGGGGCTCGATAAGGCATTGAGGAGTGTCTGCAATAAAAACATTAAAAACATTGTTAACTTTTAAGTTGGTGATTCAAAGTGATATACCTTTGAAGTTACTCAACTCAGCTGCCAAATCTTGCTGTTGTAGAGCAACTGATCGATTAGGGATCTCAACTCTAGCTTTCACAGCAGATCCAAAGTCCATCAAGATAGGTTGACCTTCATCACTGATCATCACATTAGCCGGTTTCAAATCACGATGAGCCCATGGTTCGACCACATTCGCTTTAGTTGAAGTTTTGGTTGATTCGGGTCCTGTTGATTCTTGGTGATCTTCATGAGCACCATGAGACGAAAGATTCCCCATCAAGGGAGCTTCCTGTTGTTCTTCTTCTGTTTTCCCCATTTGTTCTTCTTCGTCATCATCTTCGTCATCATGAATAGGGGATGAACTAGTTGAAGGACTGATAACTATCGAAGGTGAAGATACTACGTTCCCTAAGTTCTTGGGCGATCCACTAGGAGGATAAGAAGATGAATCAGAGGTTGTTTCTGTGGTGTGATTTGTTGTGGGTTTCTTGTTAGGTGTATATCGATGCATTGCTCTGACTGCTTTCAGAGTACCAATAAAATAACCTAAAATGTCGCGTTCGGGTATTGTTGTTGAATTATCAGAGTGAGTAGTGACCAAATCTTGTAAATTCCCTCGAGAGTAATATGGTAAGAATAAACTATTCGGTTTTGAAAATCAATTGGAAACAAAATAAACGAATTTTTCAAATAGAAATCAATATTGAAATCCAAAATTCTTTGATCTCATTATCTGGGACTTTAGAAGATTATGATTGCGAGTTGAAATGTATCTTACTACACTATTTTCCCGTCTCCATCTTTATCCTGTATCACACAAGAGTCCAGACACCTGATGATATTCGCATGTCGAAACCGTCTACAAACAAACAAATACCTCAAGTCAATTTCTGAGTTTGATCTGATTTTGAAAAAAGTGATGAAGATGAAACTAAACCTATAAGCTTCAACTTCTTTTAATGCTTCTTTAACACTATCACTTCCAAGTGTGCATCTAATTTTTTTCAAAGCAAATAATCTTCTAGAAGATAAATCTTCAGCAAGATAAACATAGGAGAACCCTCCTTCTCCAAGTAATTTGACTGTTCGATTGGAGAACAAAAAAACAGTTAGCATTTGATGAGTCAATGATGGAAAAGTAGAATGACTTCACTGATTTTGAATGTACGTCCATTGAGCTTTAGGGTCGCATCTTTTGAAACATTGAATAGAAGTATATATCAGTATCATTGTAGATTATTAATATCGGAAATCGAGATGGTCTTGATCTGGTTTGTTTACCTGGTTGACAGAAACAACCTTTTAAAGTTGAAATTGAATCTTGAATGACATGAGAAAGAGTTTCGATCGAAAGCTGAACCATTGAAGTTGAGTTTCTTTGCGATTGATTTGAATGATGATCTGGATGACTTCAATGTGATGGTTGTTTCCCTCTTGGTAGTTCTTGGTTGCTGAGGAAGTTGTCTTGAAGGTGGTTGCTGATCGTCTTGACACGTTGTTCTGCTTTACCTAAACTGTGTTCGTAAAACTGCATTACGAAACTGTTGTTCTCTTTGGCATTTTCCGATTTATTTCCTGCCCCCTCAAGCTTTCGATAGTTTTGACTTTTCTTTACCTTCTCCATTCCTTCTTCCAAGTAAAGATCATCGACACCACCGGTCTCTTGTCTAACTTTTTGTTTGGGAAGTTTAGTGCCTAATCAGTCATGCGGACTGCAATCATGCTCAAAACGAGCACGTATCGGTTAAATCTATCTTTTGAACAGAATTCTACAATTCTTCAAATATGATGAGCATCACTTGCCGTGAAAGTTCAATTGTGGTCACCGATGTGTACAAGATGGCTTATGTCGTGTGATAAGTTTGAGCTTGGATTCTATGCTTCCTGCCACATTTTTGTGGAGTCAAAGTTAAACAAGACATTGGGACAATTGCACAAACAGACCGATGCGCTAGGCTTGGAGAACCTTTAGAGAGCTTGGTTCCAATGTTTTTAAGCTGAATGATCTTGCGATTAAAGCGTATCAGCAGTGAAAGTGAATTTCCCCCAGAACATCATGTGAAATTGATTTGCATCCAGAAGGGGATTTGGGACAATGCGCGCACTCAAATATCTCAACCCATAGTGATCAGTCAAACTTGACCCATTATAACGCAAAACAACTTGTTATACATATATAGTGGGTAGTGTCTAAAAGCGTGAAATCGGGTATTTGGAGCAAAAAGTTTATCAGTGCCACAAATTTGATCCAAATTGGAATCCGAGCACAGATTTGGAGTCCTTGCATCGGCCGCTATCAGAAATTGTTATCTCTGAGTTGTTTCAAGGGCTTTAAATTTTTCATCTTTTTTACAACAAAGTAGATTTTCATCATAGAATGTAATTTGCAATACAGAAAATTAAACAATACAATTCCTAGTGCTTTGCGACCTTCTCCATCAGTGAGGACATGAATTACAGCAAGAAGTCAATATTTGAAAAAGTTATAAGGAAAAACAAACAAAATGTCATCGATTGAAGTCAGCATTGGTCACAGAGCCATGAGCAGCGGTTCGGAAAGAGTCGTATGGGTGCATTGTGACCTGGTGTATCAGTGAGAGCAGAAATCAATAAGACAAAACAATCTTCGATGAAAATGTGAGAAAAAAGGGCGAAAACATACATCGAGGCCAGCATCAGTTGCATAGTTGCCAGAAATGGTTTGATGAGATGTATATGTCTTAGTGACAGCATTAGAACCACATTTGACTTTCATGGCCTGCCTACAAGCTATCAAATGCATCAAACAATTGATAAATCAAGAAAAATTCATGAATGAGATCAAGCAAAAGGTCGACTTACAAGAGATTGAACATTATCTTGTTGGTCTTGGGATGAAGATGAAACTCTCGGATGGTTACGAGAGGACCGGTTTGCCTATTTGTTTCAACCAAATCCTTCTCTTCCTGGAGATTGGAACGCTCGTACGGTGTTCGAGATAGCCTAAAACAAAATTGTTGTATGTATTGATCCTGTCAGTATTGGATATATAAGACAACAAAGCGATCAAGATAAATAACTTACATGTGACACCAAAGAAAGTCAATTGGAACCAATTGGCTCGAGTTCGCAATAGGATTTGAAGGTCGGAAAGGAACTGATCCACTTGAAGGATGTGATCTCAATCCTACATGTACGGGGAAATTTGAACATATGTAATTTTTTCCCCGGTCCGACATTTCACGCTTTTAGACACTACCCACTATATGGGATACAAAGTTGAATCCGGGAACGGACCCGGAT